GAGGAATAGACGCAGGGTCGGGTGACGGAAGGCGGAGCAGGCGAAGGGCTGACACCGGCGGGGACTGCTGCTGCGGCAGCGCAACGGCGACACCTGGACCGCAAGCTGCTCCTCGGCTACCACCGGCACTCTCCACACCAGCACCCCCAGAGGGGCCACCCCCAGGGCGACCGGGACGAGCACCCCCAGAGTCAGCGAACGGGGGCCGCGACGGCGGTGGCGGCGGCGGCGGCAGCGACAACGACGGCTGCAGCGGCGGCAGAGGCGGTGGAGGAGGGGACTGGGGAGGGGACACCGGGGGAGGGGCAGCCGGCGAGGACTGCACAGGAGGGCCACCAGAGTCAGAGGACTCCTCAACCGGGTCCGCCGATGGAAGGGGGGTGACGTGGGACACACCAGAGGGGGCAGGACGGGGAGGAGGAGGAGGAGGGGCAGTGACTACCGGGGAAGGAGTGACCAGGAACAGGGGGGGGGTAACAGGGGGACCACGGTGGGGGAAGCGACGGTAGTAGGAAACGGACTCGTCAAAGGTGACGTCGCGAGAGTGAAAGAAGCGGTGAGACGGCGGGTGGTAAAAGTGCCAGTCGGACGCGTCAAGGGGAAAACCGAGGAAGACGCAGGGAAGGGTGCGAGCAGTGAGCTTGTCCGTGCCGGAGGCACGAACGTGAGCAAGGCAGCCCCAGACGTGGAACGCAGACGCGTCACTAGGAGACCCAGTCCAAAGACGGGTCGGCGAAACCTGCGGCTGCTGAGGGTGCGGCCACAAGTTAAGCTAGTGAGAAGCGTACGGCCACAGAAAATGGGGTGCACCGGCATGGATCATGGAGGTGCGAGCCACCTTCATGACCAAACCGATGCGTCGCTCAGCGACCCCATTCTGCTGTGGGGAGTCCGGTAGGGTGAACGTCTGGGTGATGCCCTCCGCACGACAAAAGCGACCAAGGACACCTGAGGCAAACTCGCCACCACGGTCTGAGTGAAGACGCAAGACAGGGAGACCGCGGTGGACACGCGCAGAGACAAGCCAGGGGATGAGAGCGCCAGGCACGTCGGCCTTGCGCTCCAGGGGAAAGACAGTGGTGTAACGAGTGAAGTCGTCGACAAGCACAAGGAAGTAGCGCTCTCGACGCGGCCCAGAGACGGGGGCGGGGCCCCAGACGTCCAGGTGCAGGGTCTGCAGCGGCGCGGCGGTAGGGGAAAAGAGGAGGAGTGAGGGGCACGGCGAAGCCGACCCTCGACACAGGGCGTGCAAGGGGGGCGGGGGAGGAGGGAAACGCGGGGAGAGAACCGGGGAGACCAAGGACAAGACCGTGCTGGGACATGTGACGCAGATGCGGGAGCGCAGGGTGACCTAGGCGGTGGTGCCAAAGGAGAGTCGGGTGAGTGAGGGACCGACAGGAGCAGGCAGCAGCAACCTGGGTAGACGCAGCCACCTGAGGGGGGGCCCCAGCCGGGGGGGTCACGGTATCCAGAGTGAACAGGCCGGACACCGGGTCCCGGGGGAACGTGGACAGGGGGGCACCAGTGGCGGCCTCGGTACAGACAGCATACCGCTCGTGGCCAGGGAACGTAGTGGTGACGCCAAGGTCCTGGAGGCAGCCGACACCAACTAGGTTCCTGGAGAACGAGGGGATATGCAGACCTGTGAGAGAGCCCGAAGGAACTGCTGGACAGGGAAGGGTGGTGGAACTGCGGGCGACTACCGGACCACCAAAGGGGTCAGCAAGAGAGACAGCAGCAGGAACAGGAAGCGGCGTCAGGGTGGTGGAGTCATGGAAGAAACACCGAGAAGCGCCAGAGTCCAAGGTGAAGGAAAGCGAAGCAGAGGCGTCTGGCGTCGGAACGACGGTGGAAGCACCAAGACTACACAAAGCAGAGGATCCTACGCCTGACGCAGCAGGGGAGGCTACGCTAGACACACCTACGCTAGGCAACAGTGAGTAATAAGCTGGAAGCACACTAGAGTCATCAGCATACATCACATGCAGAGTAGCAACAATGGCATCCATGTCTAAGTCAAAAATCGGAATACTACGTCTAAGCATGATGTGCCAGTCCGGGAGGTCTGGCGACGGGCCGAAGCGCTGACGAAAGAGGTCGTCCAGGCGACGAAAACAGCGGGGAGTGGAGTGACCGATCTTACCGCAAATGTAGCCGCGGCGAGGACCGGTCTGGATCTGGTACTGACAACGTCCGCCGCCAGAGCCACCACTCGACACACCACCACGCGCCCGGCCACCGCCAGCGCCGGGCCACCCGGGCGGGAGGACACTCGTCTGCCGTGTCTGCGACGGCTGCTGCGGCTGCTGCAAAGGCTGCGACTGCGGCAACTGCTGCGGCTGCTGCAACTGCAGGGGCGGCGGCTCAGCTGGACTGGGCAGGGTCCCCTCGTCCGCTCCAGCACCAGACGACCCGACCCCACCACTACCCCCTCCCGCACCCCCGCGGTAGCAGCAGTCTCAGCCACTGCGGCAGAGCCGTCGGAGAAGGTACACTGAGCGGGGCCACAACCCTGAAAGATAGGGACCGGCACGGCACCGCTCGCCTGGGCGATGGAGCGGTGACGGGTCTCTATCACCGTCAGGGTGTCTACAAAGTCAGTGAGGGTGAGGTCGGCGGGGTGAATGCTAAGGAAGCGGTCGCGGCTGACAGCAAGGCGGTCAGGGAGGCGGGTGGCAAGCAGGTAGAGGGTAGAGGTAATGGGCGGCTGGTGGGCTCTAAGCTGTGCGTCAGTGCAGGCAGCGCGCCAGGTCTCATCTATCGAGCGCAGGTGGGCAGCAAGGTCAGAGACAGTAGGGAAGGATGCAAGGTCAGGAAAGAGGATCGGGAGGATCAGGCGACCCACCGAGGCAGCCGGAGGAGTGGAATAGCGCTGGATGACCGCATCTAAGTATGCCTGAGCAGTGGTGAGGGACCTAAAGCGAGGGCGCTCGGACGGGGGAAGGGCGTTGCTAATGGCAAGCTGGGCGACAGCATCGCGAGAAAGCCAGACAGAGCGCGCACTGGCAGTGGCAGCAGTAGACTCGCGCTCGGTGGGGGTGGAGTCAGCGGGCAAAATAGCAGGGGGGTCCGGGCAGGGGAGCGTACCGTCAAGGTGTGCGGAAAGCGGTTCGCCATCCTGCCGCTGGCCAGTGAGTTGACGGCGGAGGTCGGCAAGCCACGCCTCGAACTCCAGGGGCTGGCCTTCAGCGTCGAAGCGAAGCTCCGCCGCCATCAGGAACAGCGCAGTGCGGTGCAGGGCAGTGCAGCAAGGTGGAGTGCGGTGCCGTGCGGTACAATGCGGTGCAGTACGGTGCAGGGCAGTGCAGGGCGGGGGGGGGGGGAAACCGTACCAGTGAGGAGGACCGGGGCCGGGGCAGGGACGAGCGCAGGGGCCGGGCCGGTGCAACGGGGCCGGGCGGGTGCGACGGGGCCGGGCCGGTGCGACGAGGCCGGGCGGGTGCGTCGGGGCCGGGCTGGTGCGACGGGGCCGGGCCGGTGCGGCGGGGCCGGGCAGGTGCGTCGGGGCCGGGCCGGTGCGACGGGGCCGGGCAGGTGCGTCGGGGCCGGGCCGGTGCGACGGGGCCGGACGGGTGCGACGGGGCCGGGCGGCTGCGACGGGGCCGGGCAGGGGGCGACGGGGCCGGGCGGGTGCGACGGGGCCGGGCGGGCGCTACGGGGCCGGGCTGATGCGACGGGGCCGGGCAGGTGCGACGGGGCCGGGCGGGTGCGACGGGGCCGGAAGGCGTGACGGGGCCCAGGAGGGGGGGGGGGGGGGGGGGGGGGGGGGCTCGACGCGGCCCAGGAGGGGCGCTACGGGGCCCAGGAGGGGCGCGACGAGGCCCAGGGGGGGGCACTACGGGGCCCAGGAGGGGCGCGACGGAACCCAGGAGGGGCGCTACGGGACCCAGGAGGGGCGCGACGGGGCCCAGGAGGGGCGCTACAGGGCCCAGGAGGGGCGCGACGGGGCCTGGGAGGGGCGCGACGAGGCCCAGGGGGGGGCACTACGGGGCCCAGGAGGGGCGCGACGGAACCCAGGAGGGGCGCTACGGGGCCCAGGAGGGGCGCGACGAGGCCTGGGAGGGGCGCGACTGAGCCCAGGAGGGGCGCTACAGGGCCCAGGAAGGGCGCGACGGGGCCCAGGAGGGGCGGTACGGGGCCCAGGAGGGGCGCTACGGGGCCTAGGAGAGGCGCGACGGGGCCTGGGAGGGGCACTACAGGGCCCAGGAAGGGCGCGACGGGGCCCAGGAGGGGCGCTACGGGGCCCAGGAGGGGCGCTACGGGGCCTAGGAGAGGCGCGACGGGGCCTGGGAGGGGCACTACAGGGCCCAGGAAGGGCGCGACGGGGCCCAGGAGGGGCGCTACGGGACCGAGGAGGGGCGCGACGGGGCCCAGGAGGGACGTGACGGGGCCTGGGAGGGGCGCGACGGGGCCCAGGAGGGGCGCTACAAGGGCCCAGGAAGGGGCGCGACGGGGCCCAGGAAGGGGCGCGACGGGGCTAGGGGGGTCGCAACGGGGCTAGGGGCACGACGGGGCTAGGAGGGGCGAGCGGAAGCGGTAGGGGGGGGGGATCCTAACCTACGCGTGATACCATATCAAAATCAGAAAAGTGTTATTGATAGAGTGAGAGTATGTTGGGCTGAGAAATGCCCTTAGGATCTTTTTCAGAGACTAAGTCCCAGTTGAAGATTGAGACTTGAGTAGTGCAGCGGAAGTTGAGGCAGTTGAACCCTTGTACTAGTATATGAGAACAAGTGATGATTAAAGAAACAAGCATACAGCAATATATATGAAATAAGAAAGGAGTTGTAGAATACAGTTGCAGGAGCGGTTATCGAGTCGCACAGGCGACTCAATTGCCGCTTCGGTTACCATCCGCGATGTTGTAACTGTCAGTCGCAACCTCCAGTTGCGACCTTTCGAGTTCCTTCGCGTTCTTTGTCTGCCCCCTCGTGTAACCTCCGTTGGCTCGCGTACCCCCCCTGTAATCTTCCTCGAGTGTAGTGTTACACTTCAGAAACGCTTAAGTCCTTTGAGATATTTCCAACAGAGTACACACAGATATACCTAAGTCGTGTACTCTCTAAGAGATGACCCTATACAGTCTATACAAACATGACAATAAACATGTTTGACATTAGGGACTTTAAATATGCACCTGTAAAAAAAACTGGCATTTGGGTCCCGTATACGTGGGAAAACGATAACATGACTGTTTTCTGTATGACGACTATTGTAACAAGGGCGACAAGCGCAAGGGGTGTGTAAGCTTCCAAGGAGTTGAGGCTGGAGAGGCAGTCAACGGCGACAGATATAGGACCTGACGAGGGAAAGGGCGGTAGAGTAACAGATGGAGATGGGAACACTACATGCTCTTGATTGAGGTGCAGAATGTCGAAGGCTTGAGAATTATCATTGTACCCTTCATGACGAGTCAGATATGCGTTTTCTATCTTCGCCAAGGAAACTGCAACTAAGCCAGAGGGGAGTTGGGCTGGAATCGTTGCGTGCATTTGAAGTGAGAGAGGTTTGTCACAGTAAGTGCGTGCGTGACTGCGCACGTGTTGTTGGTGTGTGCGTCCATGAGTGTGGGCGTGCATGCACAAGTAGTATATGTGCCTGTGTACGGTATGTGTACACACACCGCATGGATGTGCGAGCACCTCTGTCTGGAGGCACATCCATGCGGACCAGGAAAGGCATGCTCACCACTTTCTGGTCGTCGCCACCCGTGGCAATGCAGGCATCATCAGGTGCCACCGCCACCTACGCGGAAGAGCAAATCAGGAGATTGCTCATGCAAATGCAAAGAGACGTTCTGAGTGTTTTAGATGATTTAAGCGTTGACAAATTGAGCAGCTTACACTGTTCATTTATCCAAGGGCTTATGCTGTTAGATATTAGCTTGCAAAGGCGTATTAGAAAGCGCTTACATATTTCATGCATTAGAATGCTTACAGTATTTATTGATCGAGTATGTGCAAAGGAGACGGCAGTGAGGGGGTCAGCTAGAGTCACATCCCATACAGCCATGCTGCCATTAAAGAAAATTGGAAAGCGAAGAAAATGAGCAGCAGTAAAGATATGAAAGGTGAGGACTGAACAACACAGGTGACGGACACAAGTGAAGTACGACTCACGAAAGGGTTCAGACAGGTGACCACTGAAAATCATGACCCAGACGATCCCACCTGGCTTCGCCCCACCTGCCATTGCCACTGCCTGTCACTCGCCCACCTGCCATTGCCACTGCCTGTCACTCGCCCACCTGCCATTGCCACTGCCTGTCACTCGCCCACCTGCCATTGCCACTGCCTGTCACTCGCCTACCTGCCATTGCCACTGCCTGTCACTCGCCCACCTGCCATTGCCACTGCCTGTCACTCGCCCACCTGCCATTGCCACTGCCTGTCACTCGCCCACCTGCCATTGCCACTGCCTGTCACTCGCCCACCTGCCATTGCCACTGCCTGTCACTCGCCCACCTGCCATTGCCACTGCCTGTCACTCGCCCACCTGCCATTGCCACTGCCTGTCACTCGCCCACCTGCCATTGCCACTGCCTGTCACGAGGCCAGGCGAGGCTGAGAGCCAGCGGGCGTCGTTCACCCCTTCGTCCCCACAGTCCACAGACCTGGGGGCGGCGTGTTGGGGAAGGGGGGGAAGGGGGAGGGGGAATGGGAGGGCCAGGGCTTTGAGGGATTTGTATAGCAAATGTTTGACTTGTGAAGGATTGATTGTACACTTTCACGTTGAATGAATTACATCTACACAGAAAAGAACCAAGTAGACAGTTTTGAAAAAGGTAGATCACTGGAATGGGGTGGGAAAAGAGTAGAAAAGAGGGGGCAGCAGGCACCATGCTATGCACGATAAACCATTCAGCATGCTTCAAACCTCAAGCACCGTCACCGCATATAACATCCCCCAACCTTGTCTCCCACCTTGCATGCTGCACTGAGAGCTGCACAGAGGGCATGGGGGGGCATTATTCACCATTCTGCACACAGCACGCCCCTACCCCTGCCCCTCCCACTCCTCTCACCCGGCATGCTGCACCGAGTGCTGCAGTGAGGGCACGGGCAGGCCGTGGGAGAGGCGGAAGAGAGCGCAGAGGGGGGAAGATGGTGAGGAGGCGGAGGAAGGAGGGCAGGACGAGGAGGAGGGGAGGCAGCGGGAGTCAAAGACGAAGCAGCAGTTGGCAGAGCAGGCGGCATGGAAGAAGCGACCGCACGGGCTGAAGGCTGCTGATGTCACCTGGGGCAGATGGGGGGTGGGAGGGAGGAGTTGACAGTGGTGCAGAATGTGCAGCGAGGAGAATGCATGCGAGAGGGGCGGCGAGCAGCACACCGTTCAAGGCTCCGATCTCCCCCTCTGATCTCTCGCCGCACCCACTCTCCTCACATCCCTCGTCCTGCCTCACACCCTCCCACTCAATTCACATCCCTCCCTCTTACTTCACAACCCCCTCCCTCTTACCTCACCCCCCCCTCTCACCTCACCCCCCCCGTCACATCACTCCTCCCCCTCACCTCGCAACCTTGCCCCAAGGACACTCGGGCAACAGCCTTGTGAATGCGCGAGTCAAACACAGCCACGGCGCCATCTCCACCGCCTGCAGGCAAGGGGGGAAGGGAGGAATAGGAGGAAATGGTGAGCGATTAGCAGTCGTGCAGGGACACCGCTCGCATGAGGGCATGGACAGCATTGCCGGCGTTGGTGTGGCACAAATGAAGGCACGTGAAGGAGAGCAGGTGAGCCAAGAAACACCTATTCGAGAAAGGCAAGAAGAGCATGTGTTGAAGCTGAGTGTGAGGAGCACCGACTCGGAAGGCTGTGCTGGAGCTGGTATCCATGTCTGGCAAAAGTACCAAGTGGTCTTTGCATGCCTGCAGCTTTGCATCCACACAACGAGTGCGCTCCATCCTCCTGTGACCTGCCCATCCTACTGTGACCAGCCCAGCCTCCTGTGACCTGCCCATCCTGCCGTTTCCCCACGGCAGTGGGAACACTTTGACCAGGTTCACAAAGGCCGGTCCAATGCCAAGGCCCACTGGAGTTACCCGATGTAACCAGCACTGATGAACCAACACGGCGCAAAGGGCTACCACACGAGGCACATGCATCAGCAGGCTCTGGGAAAAGAGCAGCTCACCAGCAATGATGGTGCGGGGGTCCGCTGGGCTAGGACCGACACATGTCACAAACTGCAAGAAGATACAGAGGGATGGCGCACCGCGCACGGGGATGGGCGTGGGCGGATGAAGATGGTCATGGGCGGATGAAGATGGTCATGGGTGGATGAAGATGGTCATGGGTGGATGAAGATGGTCATGGGTGGATGAAGATGGTCATGGGTGGATGAAGATGGTCATGGGCGGATGAAGATGGTCATGGGTGGATGAAGATGGTCATGGGTGGATGAAGATGGTCATGGGCGGATGAAGATGCTCATGGGTGGATGAAGATGGTCATGGGTGGATGAAGATGGTCATGGGTGGATGAAGATGGTCATGGGTGGATGAAGATGGTCATGGGTGGATGAAGATGGTCATGGGTGGATGAAGATGGTCATGGGCGGATGAAGATGGTCATGGGTGGATGAAGATGGTCATGGGTGGATGAAGATGGTCATGGGTGGATGAAGATGGTCATGGGTGGATGAAGATGGTCATGGGCGGATGAAGATGGTCATGGGTGGATGAAGATGGTCATGGGTGGATGAAGATGGTCATGGGTGGATGAAGATGGTCATGGGCGGATGAAGATGGTCATGGGTGGATGAAGATGGTCATGGGTGGATGAAGATGGTCATGGGTGGATGAAGATGGTCATGGGCGGATGAAGATGGTCATGGGTGGATGAAGATGGTCATGGGTGGATGAAGATGGTCATGGGTGGATGAAGATGGTCATGGGTGGATGAAGATGGTCATGGGTGGATGAAGATGGTCATGGGAGGATGAAGATGATCATGGGTGGATGAAGATGGTCATGGGCGGATGAAGATGGTCATGGGTGGATGAAGATGGTCATGGGTGGATGAAGATGGTCATGGGCGGATGAAGATGGTCATGGGTGGATGAAGATGGTCATGGGTGGATGAAGATGGTCATGGGCGGATGAAGATGGTCATGGGTGGATGAAGATGGTCATGGGCGGATGAAGATGGTCATGGGTGGATGAAGATGGTCATGGGTGGATGAAGATGGTCATGGGTGGATGAAGATGGTCATGGGCGGATGAAGATGGTCATGGGTGGATGAAGATGGTCATGGGTGGATGAAGATGGTCATGGGCGGATGAAGATGGTCATGGGTGGATGAAGATGGTCATGGGTGGATGAAGATGGTCATGGGTGGATGAAGATGGTCATGGGTGGATGAAGATGGTCATGGGTGGATGAAGATGGTCATGGGCGGATGAAGATGGTCATGGGCGGATGAAGATGGTCATGGGCGGATGAGGGAACTTGACAAACGGGAGACCTGGATTGTGGTTGCGAGTGAGGAGGGAGCACATAAGATGGGCAAGGAAGGGAGTGCAAGGAATGGTGTGATGGGCAGCAGCAAGCAGGGGAGGGGGAGAGAGGATTGGCTCACAGAAGAGAAGGCGGGCATGTGAACCACAGCAGGCCCCGCACTCGCAGCGGCAGCAGCAGCAGTGGGTGCCGGGGAGGAGGCGGCGGGGCGGGAGGTGTCCCAGAGCACCACGGCCGAGGGCGCAGCGCCGATGGTATCAGAGCCGCACACAAGCCAGCGGTCGTCCGCAAAGCACAGCGCATCCATCGCCATGCGCACCCGCACCCGCGCACTGGTCCCCACTCTGCCTGCCCCTGCTGCCCCTCCTGCTCCTGATGTGCCAACAGCAGCAGTGGGGGCAGCAGCAGTGGGAGCGGCACGTGCAGCAGGGGAGGGCAGCAGCCTCCTAGGGCGAGAGGATGATGCACCGTGCAGCATGCTGGTGGGAATAAGGTGGGGGGACAAGGTGGGGGGAAAAGGTGGGGAGATATGGTGGGGGGACAAGGTGGGGGGATAAGATGGGGGAATAAGGTGGGGGATAAGGTGGGGGGAAAATGTGGGGGATAAGGTGGGGGGATAAAAGGTGGGGGGATAAGGTGGGGGGATAAGGTGGGAGGATAAGGTGGGGGGATAAGATGGGGGGTTAAGGTGGGGGGATAAGGTGGCGGAATATGATAGGGGGATGAGGTGGATGGGACTGAGCCTCCATGCACGTTGTGGGAGGACAGTTGGCCAGAAGAGAAAACTTGCTTTTTACACAAAACCCGTGAGATAACAAAAGCATCGGGGTCACAGAATGGCTCCAGTCAAACGTTTCAAGCCCCAGAACACCTTGAAACGCAGTACTACCCAGAACACTGTAAAATTATACGAGCAGCACAGTAATAAGAAGGGCATTTGGCCAGCACCTGGACGGCACTGCACCTGGGCGGCACTGCACCTGGGCGGCACTGCACCTGGGCGGCACTGCATCTGGGCGGCACTGCACCTGGGCGGCACTGCACCTGGGCGACACTGCACCTGGGCGGCACTGCACCTGGGCGGCACTGCACCTGGGCGGCACTGCACCTGGGCGGCACTGCACCTGGGCGGCACTGCACCTGGGCGGCACTGCACCTGGATGAAACGGTGAAGGAGGGGCAGAGGTGGGCGAGGGGCTTTGCTGAGCGCACGTCCCACAGAATGATGCGCGGATCGCTGCTGCCGCTGCTGGTGGCGGCCAGGTCTGACGTCCACAGGGGGGGTTGGGGGGGTGAGGTGCTCGAGGGTTGGAGGTACTAGTTGAGGGGAGGTGGAGAGCGGCACAAACGCAAAGAACAGCACTGAATGGCACTGCGCGCGACCATAACACTCCCTCCTCTTCCCAAATGCCGCGGCCGCAGCTTCCCTCCAACGTGAATTCGAGGCGCCCCTGTGTCTGATTGCCATGGCAGGGCAGCTGCAGCGTTGACTGCGTTGACTCACGTGGCAGCTGCTGGTTAACCGCAAGGGCGCAGATCTTGTCACGGTGAAAAGGAATCAACGGGTTGCCACTGCTACTGCCACTGGCAGAGGTACCGCCAGCTGCACTCGCGTGGACGACAGCTGAAGCAGCAGAGGCATGCGCATGTGAGAAGGCAGGGGATCTATTGCCACACGAGTGCAACAGCGCTGTTGACTTGGCATCCCACACCTGAAGACGCAATAGGAGGTTGACAGAGAGAGGTGCATGACTTGACCGTGGAGCAAGAGTAGGATGTTGGAACGATATTGACCAGGAAAGAAGACGCATGAAACTGGACCAAGAATGAGACGCTTGAACGACGCTCAACGCATCCTGTCCCTACCACGGTCACATGTAATGAGAGACACATGTAATGAGAGACACATGTAATGAGAGACACATGTCCTTTACCTTGAGCGTGCTGCCCCCACAGGAGAGGATGACGTCACCTCCCATGGCATACTCCACTGCTTGGATCTGATGGGCGGGTGGGGTGGGGTGCATGGGGATGGTGGCACATGGGGATGGTGGCACATGGGGATGGTGGCACATGGGGAAAAGGGATGGCAATGAAGGCGCACGGGGGAAGAAGGGATGGCAGAAACGGACTATGGTGGGGTAATATGGGAGGGAGGATGACGTCACCTCCCACGGCATACTCCACTGCCTGGATATGATGGAGGGTGTGGTGAGGGTTGGGGAGAGAGAGGGTGCGGTGAGGGTTGGGGAGAGAGAGGGTGCGGTGAGGGTTGGGGAGAGAGAGGGTGCGGTGAGGGTTGGGGAGAGAGAGGGTGCGGTGAGGGTTGGGGAGAGAGAGGGTGCGGTGAGAGTTGGGGAGAACGCGTGGTGCGGGGAGAATAGAGGGCACGGTGGAAGGAGAGAGAGGGCGTTGTGTGGGGAGGGGGGAGGGCAGTGCGGGTATTGAAGAGCAGGACAGGACATGGGGAGAAAGAAGATGAAGGGCGAAACGAGAACAAAGCGAGAGCAAGGCAATGTGAGAGAAGCAGGAAACGGGCGCCGGGTGCAGGAAGGTCAACGCTGAGAGACAGTGCAACACAGGTACCTGTCACCCGTCAGTCGACCAACCCTATTCTGACTACCAGGGGAAATGCAGCACCTGGCAGGCATGGCCCTGCAGGGGGCGGTGCGCGCCGGTGGAGAGATCAAAGAGAAGCAGCTCGTTGGGTGCCTGGTGGGGAGACGGGGTGGGGTGGTGAGGCAGGTCGGGGAGATGGGGTGGTGAGGCAGGGCGGGCAGCCACAACGCATTGGCATGCGTGTGACAATACATGGTGATACTAGATGAAGACGATGCCATGACATGTGACGACATCGATGCGATATTGTTATGCCGACAAGAGGGGTTCACGCCATGACGATTGCCCCTTAATCACTTGACTCCCTCAGCTCGTTCTGAGCGGTTTAAGGCTATTCCAAGGAACCAATAGTCCAAGTATGGGTTGGCGCACGCATTCGCACACAGCCCTGACTTCTAAGAAAAGAGCTTGGTATTGGCTAAGCTCGGCAGAGGCAGTGCAGAATAAGAGGTTATGAGACCCTAGCAGGGACCACGCGGCATATGTGTGAAAGCACGCACCAAATTCCTCTTTGAATCCAATCGGTTTGGACGCCTGTTCACAGCAGGCGAGATTGAAACAAACGCTTGTAGACCCGATTCAAACCGACAGCCACCGCACTGAAATCTGGGTTCAGCGATGTGTGAAATGCAAGTAATTTGCGACCGTTGCTATGGGAGCGGGAGAGGCGCACCTCGTTGCAGCCGATGACGAGGTGAGGCAGGCCCCCGGGATGGAAGCGCGCGTCCAACACCTTCTGCACTGCCAGCTGGCATCGCAACGCATGGCATGGTAATATGGTGTAGACGTTACACCGTTACAGGACATTACATGGCTGGCATCACATCATACGTGTCATGCGAATTGCAGGTTAGCACATGGTCTGTAGCAAGGTGTGCTGCTGCGAAAAGGGTTGGGCTGATTTATTCTGTGTTGATGCAGTCACACTGCAGTGCAGAGAAGGGGCGCTGAATGGGTTAAAGGCATGGCATGGCATGGCATGGCATGGCATGGCATGGCATGGCATGGAATGGCACAGTACGGCATGGCACGGCACAGCAGGCACGGCACGGAATTACATGGCAACATGAACCACACCCCAGCAAGGGCTCACAATGCTGATGCTGGTGGTGGGCGCATCAGCAGCATGGCTCACTTGCATCACATGCCATCCTGCCCATCTCACATCATGCCCATCTCACATCATGCCCATCTCACATCATGCCCCATCTCACATTTTGCCCATCTCACATCATGCCCATCTCACATCATGCCCATCTCACACCATGCCCCATCTCACATCATGCCCCATCTCACACCATGCCCCACCTCACATCATGCCCATCTCACATCATGCCCATCTCACATCATGCCCCATCTCACACCATGCCCCATCTCGCATCATGCCCCAACTCACATCATGCCCCACCTCACATCATCCCCATCTCACATCATGCCCATCTCACATCGCTGATGTTGGTGGTGGGTGCGTCAGCAGCATGGGAGGTGTAGCTCGCCCAGCTAGGGCCCCACGTGTCAGCACGTGATTGGCAGAGCACCGACCCCAGGCCTCGACGCGGATTGTCCAGTGATCCCCATCCTGCCAATGCGTGCAGCATGGGAAGAGGCTGGCACTGGCTGGCACTGGCAGACACTGGCTGAGACTGACTGACTCTGGCTGACACTGACTGACACTGACTGACTCTGGCTGACACTGACTGACACTGACTGACTCTGGCTGACACTGACTGACACTGACTGACTCTGACTGACACTGACTGACTCTGACTGACTCTGGCTGACACTGACTGAGACGGACACAGAATGACACTGGCAGCACGGCAGGCCATTCATGTGATGACGCACAGCACAGCCAGCAAGACATGTGCTGTGCCACACCGTACCCTTCCAGGCGTCCTCATGCCGTGCCATGCCATGCTCACCATGCCATGCCATGCTCACCATGCCATGCCATGCTCACCATGCCATGCCATGCTCACCATGCCATGCCCACCACGCCCCCACCTGTCCACACAGCGGAGTAGCTCTGGGCGCTCTTAGCCCGCATCCACCTCCCTCTGCTACCCGCCCCTCCCCCCTCCCCACACGCTGCCTGCCTCCTGTACCCCCTTCCACACTCCCTCGCCCTCACGGCCCCACTCACACCCCACCACGCGGCAGCACCAACCACTGCATCACGTGTCTCCCCTGCACCCTGCCCCGCCTCCTGCTCTCCTAAACCCCTCCTCCTCACTCCACTAGCTTCCCCCATCTCTCCAACCCCGCTTTCCGCCCCCCCTCCCGTCGACACCTGCACCCTCTGCTCGGCCCCCCTCGGGGCATCACCCTTCGCGCCCTGCCTGCCCCAATCACCTGCATCCACCCCCTTGCCGTCCTGCTGCTCCCCACCGCCCTCGTTTTCCCCACGTGCACTCTGCCCACTCCCCCCACTCACAATGCCGCCACCATCTGACCTCACACCCACTGATGCCCCCGGGCGGCCTCTTCCCCCCTTAAAGTGACATCCGTGGTAGTCAACGCTGCACACCACCCACGACTCCAGCGTCGCAGTCGGCCCACTCGAATCTTCCCACCTCTCCTCCCTGCCGCCCAGTGCTCTCACCGCTTCTCCCCTCTCCCTCCTTTCTAGTACCGCCCCAGTCCGACCCTGCATCTGACTGCGAGCGCACAGCGCCAAGCCAAGAGTCGCCTTGCACTCAGAGCAGTGGCGCGGGGAGAAGGGGAACTTCCACGGGGGCACGAACTCATGCCGCCTCACGCCTCCCATCAGCATGCCTTCCTTCACGTCCGAGTTGCCTTGCAACCCCACGTTGCCCTTCAACCCTGCCGCCTGGTGGCTGCCACCTGGAACAGCACACAGGTCAGCTCCCACGACAACATCTCCTCTCTCCACTCCGCTCTCCCCACCTCTCTGCTCTGCGCCCTGCTTTAAAGCCTCTCCACTCGGCTTGCCTTCGTCTCCTGCCACAACAGCGCGCTCCTCTTTCACTCTCTCACCACCCGCCCTCCCCTTGCCACTTTCCTCGTGCCCTCCCCCCCTCTCCTCCAAACACACTTCCTTCCCCAACACCCCCTCTTGCTTTACCCTCTTCTCTCGCCCCGCAGCTCCCAACCTTCCCTGCGTCCTAGCCTCTTCCTCTGCCTTCCCCTCACTCCCGCCTGCCGCCTGCCCTTCGCCCCCATCCACCGGCCCTTCGCCACTTCCCTCCCCACAAGGGCTCTGCAGCAGCAGCAGGTGGCGCTGCAGCAACACCAGGCTGGGAGGAAGGGAGCAGAGGGGGGGGAAGGAGAGAGAACGAATGCAACAGGGAATACGGGAGATTCGGCAGACAGTAGAAAGTGATGCGCTCCTTCCCCCGGCCCCTCACCCCTTCCCTCCCCAGCAGCAGCAGGCAGCGCCCTGCAGCAGCAGCAGCAGGCAGCGCCCTGCAGCAGCAGCAGCAGGCAGCGCTCCAGCAACACCAGGCTGGGTGGGGAGGAAGGGCGCAGAGGGGAGAGGGGCGACAGAACAGATGAAAGGCGGGAAGGAACTGCAACTCAGTCGTGAACGAGTGTGGTTGCCTTGTGACCAATGCAATTGTTTTTACAGTGTGGGGTGTGAAGCAGTGGGAGAGGTGGAACCGGAGCACCACTCTACACCACTTTGCACCATGTTCCACCATTCACAATTTCACACTGCTTTACTATGCTACACACCCTTCTGCACACCAGTTTACGCCACGCTGCTGCACTCTGTCACAGCCCCACCTGTTAAGTGATTGACCAGACCGCAGTGCTGCTGCTGTTGTTGCTGCAACACGATTCTTCTTGCTTCTCGGCAAGTCTCAACCTGTGCACCATGCACCTGCCTTCAACAGCAACTGCTCCTTCCCCTCCCATCCTCACCCAACCCACCTGTTGAAGTGGTTCACCAGAGCGCAGTGCTGCTGCTCCACCATGTGCTTCACCCCCTTTGCCTCTGCTCCCTCCCCTCCCACCGCTACCCCCACTGCCCTCCGCTTCTTCACAGGATGCTGGGGAGTGAAGGGGGCGATGGATTCAACAGGGGGACGAGAATGTGGCAGGTGCCCTGGCAACACTGCAAGTATGTTCGTAGACTTGTTGCACCCCAACTTCAATTGCTGGCGATTGGCAATTGCCAATTTGCCACAAAGGTGGGGAGAGCAGGAGTGGGCTGGGCAGATGGGGAGGGTGAGACAGAGAGTAGAATGCGGAAGAAGAATGAAAGACAGGGAGAGGGAGAGATACATGAAAATGAAACAAGGAAATAAAGACACGGAGAAAAAAACAATCTTCAGACATGTGACGGCTGTGGGATTTGAACCCACGCCTTTTTCAAGATTGGAGCCTAAATCCAACGCCTTAGACCACTCGGCCAAACCGTCACGACAGATTATTGTAGGTAAAGTAACTATAAGGAAGTCCTCGTCTAGTTTCATGCTTTCTGGCTTCTCACTTTCTTAACCAGTGCCTCTCTCCCCTGCTCAAAAGCTAATAGCTTTGTTTAGAATGTAAAACACCCATAGCATGGTCTTACTATTATGACAGCACGCTGATGCAGCCAGGGTGCAGTCAGGGCGCAGTGAGGATGCAGTGAGCTCACGACAACACACCCACATCACATCACCTCACATCACCTCACCTCACCTCACCTCACCTCACCTCACCTCACCTCACCTCACCTCACCTCACCTCACCTCACCTCACCTCACCTCACCTCACCTCACCTCACCTCACCTCACCTCACCTCACCTCACCTCACCTCACCTCACCTCACCTCACCTCACCTCACCTCACCTCACCTCACCTCACCTCACCTCACCTCATATCACCTCACCGTATCACACTCACCTCTGTGCATCTCGCCATTCTTCCTCCCCGCCTTCTGCGCCTCCCAGCGTATCCTCCTCCCCCACTCCGGTCTTCCCCCACCTCCTCCTCTCCCTCCCTATCCTCCTCACTCCCCTTGACCCGGTCACCCTGCTCCTCCCAATTCCCTCCCTCCCCACTACCCCTGCGCCCATACCCCAGCCCCTCTGCTCTAACCCCTGCCTCTCGCGTCCTCCTTACCACTCTCGTCCTCCCTACATCTCTCCCCCTCACTGACTCACCACGCACCACTCCCTCCTCCTCCCCCAGCGGTCCCTCTCCCTGCATCAGCTGCTCATCCCCAATCCCTAGCCCCCCCTGGTGTTTGATGCGGTGGAAAGCGGTGACCGTGTACTGCACGATGCGCTGCAGGGGCGTGCGCCTGAGCTCCAGGGGCAGCCGCGCCCACTGCTGCTGCACCCACTGCCGCACCTCCCACGCCGCCAGGGTGGCGGTGTTGGGGGGGAGGGACGCCAGCCAGCGGTACATGGGCAGCCACTTGGGGGAGATGGGCTGGGGGAAGTGGGGGAACGGGAGAAGAGTGTGGGGGGGGGGGGGGGGGGGGGAGGGGGGGGGGGGAGGATGAGAAGGATGGCCTCACTCCTGCCTCACCCACTGCCGCACCTCCCACGCAGCAAGGGTGGTGGTGGAGGCCAGCCAACGGTAAATGCGTAGCCACTTGGGATAGAAGGGCTTGGTGGGGGGGGGCGGCATGGGGAAAGGGGGATGAGAATGAGCGGATGTGGAGGGATGGAAAGGGGTCACAGCCAGTGCCACTCCTGCTGCACCCACTGCCGCACCTCCCATGCAGTGAGGGTGGCGGCGTTTGGGGGGAGGGGGACCAGCCAGCACTAGATTGGCAGCCACTTGGGGTAGATGAGCTGGGGAGGGCGGAAGGGGTAGGGAAGAACGGAAGGGGGAAGCGGTAGGAGGGTGGGAATAGGGGAGGATGAGGAAGATGGCTCCACGCCTGCCTCACCTCCCAGGAAGAGAGATGGTGGGTGGTGGTGTGGGCGGGTAGATAGAGAGAGAGGCCAGCCAGCGGTGCAGGCACTGGGGAAAAGAGAGAAAAGCGGGGGAGCGGGAGTGCGGGGGACGGAGGAGAGGAGGGCGTAACGAGGGGGGAGGGAGCCTCTGGAAGCAATGGGGAGCGTCGATGGAGGGAGGCGGATGAGGGGAAGCGGATGAGGGGAAGCGGATGAGGGGAAGCGGATGAGGGGAAGCGGATGAGGGGAAGCGGATGAGGGGAAGCGGATGAGGGGAAGCGGATGAGGGGAAGCGGATGAGGGGAAGCGGATGAGGGGAAGCGGATGAGGGGAGGCGGATGAGGGGAAGCGGATGAGGGGAAGCGGATGAGGGGAAGCGGATGAGGGGAAGCGGATGAGGGGAAGCGGATGAGGGGAAGCGGATGAGGGGAAGCGGATGAGGGGAAGCGGATGAGGGGAAGCGGATGAGGGGAGGCGGATGAGGGGAAGCGGATGAGGGGAAGCGGATGAGGGGAAGCGGATGAGGGGAAGCGGATGAGGGGAAGCGGATGAGGGGAAGCGGATGAGGGGAAGCGGATGAGGGGAAGCGGATGAGGGGAAGCGGATGAGGGGAAGCGGATGAGGGGAAGCGGATGAGGGGAAGCGGATGAGGGGAAGCGGATGAGGGGAAGCGGATGAGGGGAAGCGGATGAGGGGGGGATGAGGGGAAGCGGATGAGGGGAAGCGGATGAGGGGAAGCGGATGAGGGGAAGCGGATGAGGGGAAGCGGATGAGGGGAAGCGGATGAGGGGAAGCGGATGAGGGGAAGCGGATGAGGGGAAGCGGATGAGGGGAAGCGGATGAGGGGAAGCGGATGAGGGGAAGCGGATGAGGGGAAGCGGATGAGGGGAGGCGGATGAGGGGAAGCGGATGAGGGGAAGCGGATGAGGGGAAGCGGATGAGGGGAAGCGGATGAGGGGAAGCGGATGAGGGGAAGCGGATGAGGGGAAGCGGATGAGGGGAAGCGGATGAGGGGAAGCGGATGAGGGGAAGCGGATGAGGGGAAGCGGATGAGGGGAAGCGGATGAGGGGAAGCGGATGAGGGGAAGCGGATGAGGGGAAGCGGATGAGGGGAAGCGGATGAGGTGAGGGGAAGCGGATGAGGGGAAGCGGATGAGGGGAAGCGGATGAGGGGAAGCGGATGAGGGGAAGCGGATGAGGGGAAGCGGATGAGGGGGGAGGGGGCGGATGAGGGGAAGCGGATGAGGGGAAGCGGATGAGGGGAAGCGGATGAGGGGAAGCGGATGAGGGGAAGCGGATGAGGGGAAGCGGATGAGGGGAAGCGGATGAAGGGGAAGCGGATGAAGGGGCACATGGCAGCCACCTGGCGGATATGGGCTGGATGGATCAAGTTGGCAGGTGGCACGAGGGGAGGGGAGCGGGGGAAGGCGAGGGGAGGGGAGTAGGGGAAGGGGAGGGAACGGGAGAGTGAGTGTGGGAGGGAGGGCGGACGAGGAGGGAGGGAGAGTACGAGGGGGGAAGGAAAGTACGAGGGGGGAAGGAGAGTACGAGGGGGGAAGGAGAGTACGAGGGGGGAAGGGAGAGTACGAGGGGGAAGGGAGAGTACGAGGGGGGAAGGAGAGTACGAGGGGGGAAGGGAGAGTACGAGGGGGGAAGGAGAGTACGAGGGGGGAAGGAGAGTACGAGGGGGGAAGGGAGAGTACGAGGGGGGAAGGAGAGTACGAGGGGGGAAGGAGAGTACGAGGGGGGAAGGAGAGTACGAGGGGGGAAAGGAGAGTACGAGGGGGGAAGGGAGAGTACGAGGGGGGAAGGGAGAGTACGAGGGGGAAGGGAGAGTACGAGGGGGGAAGGAGAGTACGAGGGGGGAAGGGAGAGTACGAGGGGGGAAGGGAGAGTACGAGGGGGAAGGAGAGTACGAGGGGGGAAGGGAGAGTACGAGGGGGAAGGAGAGTACGAGGGGGGAAGGAGAGTACGAGGGGGGAAGGAGAGTACGAGGGGGGAAGGAGAGTACGAGGGGGGAAGGAGAGTACGAGGGGGGAAGGGAGAGTACGAGGGGGGAAGGAGAGTACGAGGGGGGAAGGAGAGTACGAGGGGGGAAGGGAGAGTACGAGGGGGGAAGGAGAGTACGAGGGGGGAAGGAGAGTACGAGGGGGGAAGGAGAGTACGAGGGGGGAAGGGAGAGTACGAGGGGGGAAGGAGAGTACGAGGGGGGAGGAGAGTACGAGGGGGGAAGGGAGAGTACGAGGGGGGAAGGGAGAGTACGAGGGGGAAGGAGAGTACGAGGGGGGAAGGGAGAGTACGAGGGGGGAAGGAGAGTACGAGGGGGAAGGAGAGTACGAGGGGGGAAGGAGAGTACGAGGGGGGAAGGAGAGTACGAGGGGGGAAGGAGAGTACGAGGGGGGAAGGAGAGTACGAGGGGGGAAGGAGAGTACGAGGGGGGAAGGAGAGTACAAGGGGGGAAGGGAGAGTACGAGGGGGGAAGGGCAAAGGAGCGACGCGAGGTCAAGGGAATGAAGACGGCGGGAGGAAGAGGGAGTGAAGATGGCAGGAGGCCAGCCAGTAGTGCCTGCGGAGACATCCGGGGGATACGGACTGGATGGGGGAAGGACGGGTGGAGGGGAGGGGAGGCGGAGAGTATGGGTTTGGAGGCATGAGTAATAAAGGGTGTGGGAAAGGAGGGGGGCGGGAAAGGTGAGGCTAGTGAGCGCTAGGGGGGCTGGATGGGAAGGGGGAAGGGGGAAGGGGGAAGAGGCAAGAGGGAAGGGGGGAGGGGGAAGGGAAGGATATTGGGAAAAGGGTGAAGGGCAAGAGGGCGTGGGGAAAGGCGATGAGAGAGAGTGAACCCTATGGTGGGGTTGCGGAGAGTAAGGGCAGGCGCAGTGGTGGGACTGTGGCGAGACGAGCAGGAGAGACGAGCAGGAGAAACGAGCAGGAGAGACGAGCAGGTGCGACGAGCAGGAGAGACGAGCAGGTGCGACGGAGGAGGCAACTTTCAACGAGTGGAGAGGGTGGGGACAAACGCAGCGAGGCAAGCTGATCGGGTGGGAGGACGAACGGAGCAGAATAATTCCTCCTCCCATCCCATCCGACCACTCTAAATCGGTCCCGAGAGTGCGCGGCTAGGTAGCGGCGGAAAAACGGGAGAGGCTGTTTCCTAAGAGCTCTAGATACGGGAAACGCCACGTCACACCTGTGGAGCCAGCGACCTGCCATTCTAGGCGAGCGAAGCGGCAAGGGACCTCTCACCGGTGCCATGGCGGAGAGGCGGCGACGGGGACGAAGGAGAGCGGCAGCACGCGGATGGTTCGCAGGCAAAGGAAACGTTCAGTTGGGTAGAAAACGGAGCCACGTGGTTGGCGCGGCCATGTCGGAAGGAATTCCCCCCTGTTAGGAGGTGATTGGCGCCCTAAGAGCCGCTGATTGTGTTCCTCGATGCCCGGTTTGGGGCTCCGAATGCTAAAAAATAAGAACCAGAAACTTAGGGCGGGTCCAAAATAGTTCACACCTTATTTATTTCGTGTTAAAGAACCCGATTTTAACAAGTAACACCTTCTTTAAGGTTTCGCCAGGACACGAAAGAAACTGACCCGTAACGTGGGACACCCTTCACATGCGTCGGGCCATGTACCAGATTACGGATTGGTAACGTTTAAAAGCCGTGGGGTGCAAGATTCGGGGACGGGGTTCCAAGTGTGTCGCGCCTGGATTTCGCCCCACTGTCTGTGGCGAAAACCAGGCGACAACGCGAATGCATCTGCGCGCGTGACGCCAGACCACATCCGCGACTGAACCCGCCACGAGTTGAGTGTCTCTCTCGCGTGTGGCTATGGTGATTTTCCCTGCCTGTTGTATTTTACGCGCTGCGAAACAGATGTTTCGCGCAGGTATACATTTGGTAACTGCGATTTGGGCCATTGCGCGCCGTTCGGTTTTCTCACATCTCGACAATCGGCGTCCCGCTTGTGTGCTATGTGCGAACGGGGACACAATTTCTGGTGTTCATGAATTCGGAGTCATTTCATGGATCTGTACCCGGGTTCCTAAAATCGTGTCCTAAACCCCGAAATGAACTATTTGGACCCGCACTTAGCCGATACCGCTGCGGATGGCTTGTTCTTTTGACCGTTTCGCGTGGAAAAGGCCAGTAGGCCAAATAAATGGCGTTCGACCATAGGGGCGTGTGCGTTTTGTAAAAAATGTTAAAGTAAATACCGCCAGCACGTACAGCGAGTACGGACAGTCGATAAATCAGCGAACGAACTTCCAACGTACCACCTGCAAAATCGGTCGCAAAATTGAGAGTGCGGTCAGGTACACATTTTGGTATGTATGCGCGTCAAGGACACGGTGAAGACGCGTCCGTAACATGCGAAAAAAAATCGACAAGGAGGTCCTGAATTTCGTTAAGTACGTGCGCCTTTGACCGCACTCTGATTTGGCGCTGATTTTTTTTCCTTTTTCGCATTTTGCGCGTTACCCTGTCGCACATCGCAAGCATCCCAACGTGACCAGGTGTGGGGTCAAGAGTTATAGAAGCGAATCATGTTGAAAGTTGGGTACGTACCTACTCGTGCTAACCCCTCCCAAATCGACGTCCGTTCCATGTTGTGTGAAATTTTAACGGGGGCGTTGACGAAACTTTTCGTTAAATTCGCGAATTGTGTTACCACGCAAAATTGCGTACTCCTTCAGAATTGCGTTCTAAAACCCACAGCCCTAAATCGAGGGGGGAACTGTGACGGTCTTGTTGAGCAGAATTCAGCAGTAGTTGGCGACAATTCGCAATACTATGTAGGCATTTCTGTTTAACACATGACATCTCTTGTTTCGTGAACTGCTCCCTGAAATGGTCCAGAAAGAAACCCCAACTTAGGTTTCTGGACGAGGGTCGGAACTCGAGGCATCTCACGTGCAAGTTTTTCGAACATGAAAGAACCCTGAAATTTGAGATGGGTTTAAACTATTTCTTTGCGATTTAGTAAGGCATTTCTAAGGACGCGTTGTTAAATTATATATTTGATATATAATTAGAAGGCTTGGTAGGTGTTATTGAAACCTACTGTAGAGGGTACAACCCCCCTCCTTGTATCCCTCTCTCTTCTATTCTCGACCTCTTTTCTCTCGTCAACTTTCTAGCCCTAAAACCTCTCGCCATTCCATGGCTTCCTAGTGTTCTTAGTTTGACATGGTATCAGAGTAGGTTGCCTTTCCCGGGCCTGTTCCCCACACTTCTGCCGCGCACTCCTCCTCTCCCTCTCGCGCTTCCATGGCGGCCGCGTCGTGCTGCTGTGGCAGCGTCGTCGTGTCGCCGGCCGCGTCGTCCTGCCGCGGCCGTCTCGACTCGCTGCCGTAGCGTCGTGCTGTCGTGGCATCGACGTCCAGCCGTGGCGGCATCGTCGACATCAAGTCGTGGCGGCGTAACGGTGCCGACGTGCTGCCGTCGCAGCGTCGACGTACCGCCGCGACATCGACGCCGCGCTGTGGAGGTAGCGTTATGCTGTAGTGGCGGCGAAGACAGGGGGCAGCGGACCGCGTGACGTCTTAGGCGCTGCCGGTCCTGACGCCCGCATGCTAGCCACGGGCGTATTGCAGAAGCCCCGCCCCCCTTCCCTGCGTCCCCTCTTCCTCGCCACAGCCGATGGCTGACTCTCGCTGGCCGTCCCATTGTCGCGGAGCCCGGCCACGCCGCCGAGTGTTGCGAGCCCCGCCACTGCCGCCGTCGCTGTTGTCAAAGCCGCCGCCGCCTCCACTGTCGCCACTTGCGATGGGACTACGCTGCCGCACGCCGCCGCCGCCACCACTGTCGACGCTGCCGCCGCTGCCGCCGTCGCCTCCGCAGCCCTTGCTGTCGACGTCGCCGCCTCACGCGCCGAGGGGTTGACCAGACTGGTGTAGCCGTCGATGCTGCTGAGTATGGGGGTGCTAGATTTATGGGGTGTGTGTGTGGCTTTGTGTCCCATGTGTGGTGTGCTTTCGGCTACCAAGCCCAGGGGGTGTGTTAAATTATATCTTTGATACATTATTGATAGGCTTGGTAGGTATTACTAAAACCTACTGTAGAGGGTACAACCCCTGTCCTTGTATCCCTCTCTCTTCTATTCTCGACCTCTTTTCTCTCGTCAACTTTCTAGCCCTAAACCTCACGCCATTCCATTGCTTCCTAGTGTTCTTAATATGACACGCGTTACAAGTTGGACCAAGAGGGGTTCAAGTTTTGGACGTTCAATATTCCGATGTGGTTACCCTATTGTAATATTTCTACACCACACAAATGTACCAACCCGGTCAAAGCGCCGCGATTTATTGCTCCCGCCAGGACGAACGCACGTCGCGAAAGCTTGACCTCCATGCTTGTCCACAGCGACAAAAGTACCGAATCGGCATATGCCGATCGTGGCGAATTTATGCAGACGAAAACCTCCCCTACTTTTTTCGTGCAGTCAATTGGAATTGTGCGCTTAGAAATGAGTACGGTCACGTTGCGGAGCTGGCTAGGCAACCATGTGTTTTTTTGTCAATTCGCTTTTGTCGCCAGATTCCCGTCGCTCGAATTTTGCATCTTAATCGACAATGGGCGAACCGCGGTGGGGTACATCTTCCACCCCCTGTAAGGAAATTCCCTTTTCCTTTACTTGGCTCGACTATAGTGCTTACGCCCTCAACTTTCAGAAGTCTAGGCTCGGCCAACTTCTTCAGTTCCAAACCATTTCGCGAACCCAAACCTAGACGTGCAGCGCTTCCGTGGCTTTCGCCAACCGGACCGCCCCAACATGTTCGCGTGGTTCTCAGCTAGCTTGGTTCGTGCCTATAAATGCCTAGGCCCTCATTTGTATCGACACTCTTGAATTATGACTCCTTTACTTGTTTATTACAGTAGCTGCTTGCACCGCTACTCGTGAAGGTCTCTATGTACAAGAGCTACTGGAGGAAGCGAATTTGACAACAAGTGCACAGTTCATCCTGCAGTGCGACAACCAAAGTGCAATCAGAATCGCACACCAATCCGGTTTCGCCAACAGGACGAAACACATTTCGCTACGATACTTCTTCGTCAAAGATGAAGTTGAGAAAGGGAGAATGCGATTGGTCTACTGCTCGACCAATTAAATGGCTGCAGATTTCCTCACCAAGAATCTGACACGTCAGAAGTTCTAGTACTGCAACGAACTCCGCGGGATTATCAAGAAGTCACACTATCATACTTAGTCTCCTGCACCACCTTTCAATGTCTTTCATAAGAAACAAAACACGATGAAAACATTTCTTCAAAGAATTAACTGTCATGATTTGCGGAACGAAAAATATCCAATTAGCTGTCACATGGTAAGCGGATTCTATCACCAAACCCTATAGTTGCTGTTCTAAAATAAAAGGCATAAATGTTGTGAGGTGAGGTAACTAGCTGAACCAGGAGCAAAAGTGTGCTTCTCGTTCACCTAGTTACCAAACCTCGTTCGACTGGTTACAGCTTTCGGGAAGATGTCGCCTGCTTCACGAAGTTTTCTGCTGTTCGTCTAGTAACCAGCATCACTCCTTTCGCCGCCAATCCCACGCCATCGCGTCGGCCAACTGCTCCCTCCAGCATTCTGAAGTCATTTCCCGCCTCGCAACCAACCGGAGCGCCCCACTCCCCACAATTTTCGTTGGCGGGAAACGCGGCGTGCTGCTCGTGACCGTTGGTGATCTCCTTGAGCTTCTCGTAGACGGCCCTCACGAACTGTTCGACTTCGCCCAGCACCGTCGCCGTGTCTCCCTGCGAACATAAGCATCAGAAAAAGGATGGAGCGACAGAGGAAGTTCTGAGCAATGCTGATTTTGCTGAAAAGCGCTGCATTACTGCTAAATGACCAGGTTGTGACCAGTACCTTCGTCAGTGTTGGTGCTACGAGCTGACGTAGTAGCGAAATTCTATCCTTTGTCGTCTCCATCCTTAGCTGCTCAGAACAGCAACGCAGCGCAAATGGGGAAATCGTTAGCATCCCGATGGGCCATAGAGCGGGCATTCGAGACTGACAAGCTCAGCCGTAGAGCGGCGATATGACGGATCAGCCAACGTAACGGGTGGGCATCCCAATGGTAACCGTTGGACGACCAAGCTGTGATCTGACCGTTTTCCAGCACTGAGGCACGTACCATGATGGGAAGGGCTTGCAGTTTGCCCGACTGCAGGTGGTGCAGCCAATCAGGCCCCTCGAACGGAGCGGGTGTTGCACTGCCTGTTCCCGCGCCCCGTTCCTTCTCCGCAACCACCGCCCTACGGGGGCTGGGGGAAGCGCCGTCTGCGCGAGCCTGTTAACGCGGACGAGATAGAGCACGGGGCAGTAAGAGTTTAGAAGGGGATGCGGTATTGAGCGCACGAAGGAGCGTGAAACCGATAACTACTAGACGGAAGTAGACGCGTTTCGAAGGGTCCTAAACCGCGTTAAATGGCAATGTTAAGGTGGAAACCCCAGCAACTTACCTCCCAAGAGCCGCATTGTCCGCGCCTTCGCTTTGGTGCGCCTCGCCCACTGTCCGCGATCACGTCGTCGAGCAGGATGGTCGGCGGCGACTGCAGGCCAGGCGATGTTACATCGCCGCCAGGCGAGACCATCTGGTTGCTAGGCGACGCTATCCCGTCGCCGAACGACGCTATTTGAACGCGAGGTGACGCCACGGTCAGTTCGTCGCGCCGTTTTGACTTGCTTCGCCACCCGCCAGGGGCAGGTTTCCCCGCGCCATGTAGCTCATGCGGGCCAGCATCCGTCAGCGACAGCTTGAGCAGCTCGGGACTCGGCTCGCTGTTTCCAAGCGGGACACAGCGCGGCTGTAGCACAGGAGACGGCTGTAGCATAGGAGACGGCTGTAGCGGCGACGGCTGTGGTGCGAACTGCGTGTTAGCGTAAGCCCGTGGGCTCCCCGCGTTGGCCACCCACGCAGAGACCTGTCCGCCTGCGGGCGCTGTAGCAACAGATTCGGGCGTCGCAACGGGCTCGGGGGTCGAGTGGGAGAGGGAGAAGTCAGCCTTGCCGCAGGGGCTGTGCGGCGCCGTAGGGGAGATTAAGTGCGACGTCGTGGCACCGTCAGTGTCGCTGGCGAAATCCGCTTGATCGTACGAAAGTGGGAGAGCGACAGGGGTGGAGAATAAGGGAGAATAAGTGACTTGAAGTTGGCGCCGTGGGGTTTGGAGGTGACGCGTGGCGTGGAGCTGGCTGTGCGCGGCCTGATTGCTGGAGGATACCCCGCCCATGGCATCGTTGATGCAGGCTGTGCCAACCACCGCGGAGCACCGGAACCGGGGCATGGGCACAACGAGCTTGAGCGGCGATGAGGCGAGCGGGTCCGCATGGCAGACGTGATGATGGCACTGCGCCGCCTCGTTCTCAAGCAGCTGCGGAGGCTGCTGAACATGCTGATAGTGCGGGCGATCATGTTCATCGCGATTCCGAGCCTCTTCTCGATGCGTCAGCTCGTACACCGGCGGGTTTCGCGTCTCGTCGTGCTGCTGCTGCTCCTCCCGCCCGCCCTGCCCGCACATCCCGCCGTGCACGGCGCACACGGCGTGCTTCGTGTCGGACATCAGCATCGCCACCACTCGCCGCCACTCCAGGGCCCCTCCGCCCTCACGCATCTCCTCCTCCGCCATATCCTCATTCCCGCCGATCCCGCCTTGCTCCGCCGATAGGTCCGAGGCCGGTGCCGCCGCCGCCGCCGCCACACAAGCGCCATGCTGAACGCGCGCGAAAGGAGCGTTACTGACCCGATCTTCCGGCGAGCGTGGCTTGCCGTCCAGAGAGAGCGGACTAGGCGGGCCGGAGTTCGAAAAGGTCATTCTTGCCGCCAATACCGAGGCTCGGGTTGATAGCGCACTTGCAGCGCCGTAACTGCGAGAACGGTCGCCAAGCGCGTACGATGCCGCCGCGTCCCACGCGCTCGCACCCTGCGCTGAAAACGCTCCTCCGTTATGGCGATCCTGCTCCGTGACTTGTGAGCCAGCGGCCATCGCACCACTCCCTGCGTCGCGTGATCCTGTGTCGAACAACTCGAAGAAGAGCGAGCCCTGCCCCGTCTGCTCACCACTACTGGGACCAGCCATTGCCGCGTCGTGAAGCGCGGTGACTGTAGCGAGGGTCTCCTTGGTGTGCGCGCAGCTGTACAGGTGCCTATCAGCCGCCATGGCGTCGAGAGGGGAGACGCAGGCCCCAGCCGCGCACGAGCCCATGAGCCCACTGTCAGGCGACTGGGGTGATTCTTGAGTCGAAACGGACGCCAGACGACTGGGGGTTCAATGCTGCGATCAGCAATGGCGGGTACAAAAGCGTCTACTAGCAGCTAATCTGCGAAATGCGAGGGATAGCTTCTCTATGGCAAAAATCGTTTGGTCGAGCAGCGCGTGTGGGCTCTTCGACGACCTGCACTAATGCTGGACACACGCGACTCCGTCCCGTGTCTGGCAACGGTGAATGAATGCCTTCGCTACTCTCAATGCTTCTCGTTCGTTCGGTTCGGTTCTCAAGAGTCTTTGGCTGCTATCGCTTTGGATCCGCTTGGGTCTAGTCTAGTCTTCGGAAAGGGTTAATTGCGGTCCAAAGCCTGTGGACCTCTGAGAAATGCCGGAAGCAGCCCAGGCAGGCTGGGGATTGGCGCGTTCCTTCCCCGTATTACGTGCCGTGAGGAGGACCCGCGGGGTCGTGCGGCGCTACCAGGCCGTGGATGTGACTGACGCCTCCAGGCGAGCTTCCGAAGGGCTGGGTAGCTTGGCGCGAACAAGTCACCGAACCGAGAGAGTGGCGGCTGGCTGCTGCGGTGAGGTCAAACGAGTTGTATTGACTGTATGGGGGTTGTCCCTGCATTTGCAACGCAAACAGCGCGCGTGTCATGTGCTCTCGCAGAGGGTAGGCGCAGAACCGTAGAGTTTGTGCTTCAGATGGGACAAAAAACTGCGAAACTCGTTCGCGACCAGGCTGAGCGACACTCGTCGGCGAGGACGCGTGTTGCGAAGAGAAATGGGGTTAACGACGGAATGTGGAGTGAAGAAACGCGGTATCCATCAGTGATTCCGAACGCACGGGACAAGTGGACGACGCGACGCGAACCGACGAAAGAGCACCGTCAAGCCGCAAGCTGAGCAACAGGAGCCGCCGAAACTTTACCCGCGCAACCGACAACCCCCCCTAGCGGTCCAGTCCCATGCACCATGGCGGCTTGTTCACGATTTGCGTACGCGACAGTGGAGTATTTCGACAATGAGAACATTCAACGCTCACGATTTACGATAGAACGACCAAAGAGCTAAATTCGCCCTTTTCTCCAAACTGCACTTATCGCGTATGAACCACGCGGTGGCGAATTCCCCCGACCAGCCCAGGGCTGCAACCTCACACTGCTCCTTATTCCAGGGATGCCCATGGCGTCCTTCCTCCGCTTCTTGATCAGCCCAGCATAGTCCGCCTCTTTTGTCTATTATCGCCGTCGCTCGTCATGCAGCAGATCCCCGACGCCGCCGGCATGCCGCCCGGCGCGATGTATCGCGATCTCGCGAATCGGCGCTGGCTCCGCGCGTTTCTCTTCCACCTGCTCGCCATCGGCCCCTTCCTCTTCCTCTGGGCCGCGCCGCTCGTCCTCCGCGCGGGTCTCCTCCCCTCGCTGTTCTCCTTCTTCTCCCTGCGCCTCTACCTCGCATTCGCCATTTTCGATCTTTCGCAGCTCCTTTTCGTCCTCGCTCGCCGCGCCATCGTCGTCGCCGACGCCCCGCCCCTCCCCTCCAGCGCGTCCCTCCTCGCCAGGATCGCCGGGCTTTCCGGCGCCGCGTCGCCCGGCCCGCTCGTGCATCAGGACCACCAGATTCGCGCAACGCACGGCGAGTCTCGCGCGCCCGTCAGCCAGTGGGAGGTGGAAGCGGCGTGGGCGACGCTGTCTGGCCGCGCTAGGTTCGTCTCCCTCTGCGCCGCGGCGGGCAGTGCGGGAGCGATCTCGCTGTCGCTCTTCCGCGCGCAGCTGCTGGGCGACGCCCCCGAGATCGAATCCAGCGGTGCGTGGCGGCAGGGCGGTGCGGCTGTGGCGGCGGAAGGTGGGTTCGGGGCGGCGGTGGGGCTGCTGTTCGCGGCGTATCACGTGGTGCGGCGCGACTACCTCCTCGCGTTCCCCGCGCTGCAGGTTCGACTCTGCCCCGCTGACTAATCTCCACCCCATGCCACGTGCCGCTCTCGCCTTTCCCTCACCTGTGGCGCGTCCAGGCCAGGCCGTCCCGGTCTGCATGGCTGCCCCCTGGGTTGGACCCATGGCTCACGGCGCACTTCCAGGCTCTCCTTCCCCTCCCTGCGCTCCCGCTCTTGCTGCTCCTCCCGCTCTTGCTGCTCCTCCCGCTCTTGCTGCTCCTCCCCCTCTTGCTGCTCTTCCCCCTCTTGCTGCTCTCCCCCCTCTTGCTGCTCTCCCCCCTCTTGCTGCTCTTCCCCCTCTTGCTGCTCTCCCCCCTCTTGCTGCTCTCCCCCCTCTTGCTGCTCTTCCCCCTCTTGCTGCTCTCCCCCCTCTTGCTGCTCCTCCCCCTCTTGCTGCTCTTCCCCCTCTTGCTGCTCTCCCCCCTCTTGCTGCTCCTCCCCCTCTTGCTGCTCTTCCCCCTCTTGCTGCTCTCCCCCCTCTTGCTGCTCTCCCCCCTCTTGCTGCTCTTCCCCCTCTTGCTGCTCTCCCCCCTCTTGCTGCTCTCCCCCCTCTTGCTGCTCTTCCCCCTCTTGCTGCTCTCCCCCCTCTTGCTGCTCCTCGCCCTCTTGCTGCTCTTCCCCCTCTTGCTGCTCTCCCCCCTCTTGCTGCTCCTCCCCCTCTTGCTGCTCTTCCCCCTCTTGCTGCTCTCCCCCCTCTTGCTGCTCTCCCCCCTCTTGCTGCTCCTCCCCCTCTTGCTGCTCTCCCCCCTCTTGCTGCTCTTCCCCCTCTTGCTGCTCCTCCCCCTCTTGCTGCTCTTCCCCCTCTTGCTGCTCTCCCCCCTCTTGCTGCTCTCCCCCCTCTTGCTGCTCTTCCCCCTCTTGCTGCTCTCCCCCCTCTTGCTGCTCCTCCCCCTCTTGCTGCTCTTCCCCCTCTTGCTGCTCTCCCCCCTCTTGCTGCTCCTCCCCCTCTTGCTGCTCTTCCCCCTCTTGCTGCTCTCCCCCCTCTTGCTGCTCTCCCCCCTCTTGCTGCTCCTCCCCCTCTTGCTGCTCTCCCCCTCTTGCTGCTCTTCCCCCTCTTGCTGCTCCTCCCCCTCTTGCTGCTCTTCCCCCTCTTGCTGCTCCCTTAATATTTCTGGTGGTCAGAACGCGTGCTTGGGTTCTGTTGGTTCAGCCATCTCTGCCGTCCGCGTTTATGGCTGCCCGCACTTTCCTGTCGCAGCTGCCCAGCGTGGTGCACTCCCACAACCCCCACTCCCAAACCCCAACTGCCACCACCCTCATTGTGCCGTATCATCCGCGCCATGCCACCCCATACCCCTTGCAGCGCGCCCCATTTTACCGCTTCAAGACGAGCCTCCCCCGGTGCGCCACGTCAGCAGCCACATTCGGCTGTGTCACCTCGCTCCTCTGGTCGCTCCTCCTCCGCCCCCTGCTCCTCCCTCTCCTCGCCGCCGCCGCCACCACGGCTACCGGCATCCCCCTCCCCTCCCTTTCTCCCCCCTCTCTCTCCCTGCCCGCCCTCCTCCTCGCCCTCCCCGCCTGTGCTTACTCCACCGCCTTCCTCGCCTTCGCCTGGGAGAGCGCTGCCGTGGCCACAGACATCTTCCTCACCCACCGCCACCTCTTCCTGCCCGCGCCCTCCTCCCCCGCCTCCCCCATCGCCCCTCTCCTCCTCGCCCTCTCCCCCCCGCCCTCGTCCTCCCCTTCCTTCTCCGCCCCTCCCTCCGTCTCCTTCCTCTCGCTCCCCTCCCCCCCCTCTCTCCACCGCCTCATTTTCCATTGGGCCTTCCTTGACCTCTCCCTGCTCGCCGAATCAGAGGCTGACACGTGGCGCCGCGCCGCCCTGTTTGAGTCACAGGATGTGTACAGTGTGATCGTGTCTGCGTGCATTCTTCCCATCGACAACATGACTGTCAGAGTGGCTGCTGCCGCTGGTTACCCTACCGTTACGAGTACACTTCAGCAGCAATCCGCGTTCCAGTCACCCATGACTGCAGCCACAGGAGCCGGATTCGCGTCTGCTAATGGGCTGCGGTGGCGGCAGGGGAGGGGGGGAGGGGAAGGGCAAGAGGGGCAGGCGCCACACGCGGGAGGGATAGGCGGAAGCAGTGGATATGGTGGATTCGGGGGGGCGGACTGGAATGGTGGGCGGGGATCAGATCCTGGTGCGGCAGGGGCAGCAGGGCGGGCTGGAATGGGTGTGGGTGGAGTGGGGGGGCGCAGAAGAGGGGCGAAGCAGCCGAATGCAGCAGAGGTGTTCTTTGACTGGCAGGTGGGCTTGCGAGTGGCGTGGTGGAAGGTGGGGTCACGGGAGGTGGGGTCATGGGAGGTGGGGTGATGGCAGGTGGGGTGATGGCAGGTGGGGTGATGGCAGGTGGGGTGATGGCAGGTGGGGTGATGGCAGGTGGGGTGATGGCAGGTGGGGTGATGGCAGGTGGGGTGATGGCAGGTGGGGTGGTGGCAGGTGGGGTGGTGGCAGGTGGGGTGATGGCAGGTGGGGTGGTGGCAGGTGGGGTGGTGGCAGGTGGTGGGATGATGGCAAGCGGGTGGGGAGGTGGCGGGAGGTGGGGTGAGATCTGTGAGCCACGTCGTTCCCCCGGTGGTATTCGATTCCGAGAGGCCTCAACCAGTCTGTGGGCCCGCCTGCTTTCAACATTGCCTTCCTGTGTGCGGGGTCTAGATTTTTCCAGTCAAATGTTTTGCAAGTGATCGCAAGTGACCGGGTCCCCTCTTCTCCCCGCACATTTCTATCTGTCCACCCATGCACCTCCGTCAACCCCTTTTTTTCACAACCCCCCATGTCCCCCCAATGCCTGTCTGATCACCAGAGCCATGAGCGTACGCACGCTGGCAGGGCTGGCAGCAGCATCACGAGCAGAGGGCCGTGTGGCAGTGTCCTCATGCGTATTTTTCTCCATCCTCCTGCTTATCCCGTACCCCCATGCTCTTCCCTCTGACAGCTGTGTGCCATGAGCATACGCGCGCTTGCAGCGCTGACAGCAGCGTCCCGAGCGGAGGACCGCCTGGGCGTGGCGCAGATGTCGGGCGCCAGCGCTGCGGCACTCTCCTCGCTGCTCTCCGCGCTGCTCGCCCTCGATGCCCTCCTCCTCGCGCCTTCCCACCACCACACTGCCGCCCCGGCCACCTTCTCTGGCTTCGGGGAAGCTTCCTCCCAAGCCACGCCTTCAGGTTTTTCTCAACGTGCCTTCTTCCACCAAACTTCGGGTCTAGCCTCGGGAACTGGAGGTTTGTTTGGCACACCGACCCTGGGTCTTAGGTTTGGCAGCACCGAACCAGGAGCTTCCTCTGTATCAGCAGTGGGAGCAGGGGACGCAGCAGTGAGCCGGACATTGTACGGCGAGGGGCTGGTGGGGCCGGTGTGGGGGGAGGCTTGGGCCATGGCAGACGTGGTACGAACCGCTCTGTACCGCATTGGGGAGACATTTGGGGAGGAGATGGTGGAGAAGGGTGGGGGGGGAGGCATGGGAGGAGGGAGAGCAGGGTCGTCGTGGAAGGTGGGCGAGGCGTGGCTGCCTGGAGACACACAGCCGCTGTTTGGGTCGAGAGAGGCGCATGCGGCCAAGCTGCTGTCTCTGCTGCGCCACACGGAGTGAGGTCCCCTTCCCCTCTCCTGTAGCTGGATGACACACATGAGATGGCCTGATGGACGGCTTTTAGCTGTTTATGTGATGCATGCTGGTCACCCTTACTGGTGCATGCCGTTGGTTTGTTCCCCGCACAGCACACACATGCACGAATAATCATGCACATCCATAGAAACGGGCTGGTGCTGATGTTGTCTGCAGAGCAAATCATCGGAACGTTTGGTGACCATTGAAAGCTCAAGCCGATCAACGAAGGATTGGATTGGCATGAACAGTCTCATCACTATGTACATGCTACTACTACACCATCCAACTGGGCATTAACAAAGTCCCGATTAAAGCCCGTGGCTACAGTAGCAATCAAGATTGCTGTTTGATTTCCTCTTGAACTTCCTGTTTAACAGCAGCTTCCCCACTATTCATGTAGCCTTCCAGCAGCCACGTCACTCCCCCACAGCCCAGATTGCATCCCTCCATCCATGCGCCACGCGCTCTTGCTCTCCTTGTCCGCTCCCAGCCGTCCATTTTCGCCTGCACCCCTGCCTCTCCTGCACAAGCACCTGCACCTGCTGTTGCCCTCTCCCCCACGCCAGCCCCTTCCATTTCCCCTTCCTCCACGCTCGCCTCCATGCTCACCTTCACGCTCTCCTTCGCCTTTCGCCCTGCCCCCCCCCTTCTTTGCCCTCTGCCCCATCCGCTTTATCCTCACCCTCAGCACCACCCTTGCTTTCACCCATCACCCACTCTCCTTGAGTCGTTGCCGCCACGGCTTGAGGAGCGCCTTGCAGCACAGCCTCTACGCGCCTCAACCCGGCTATGCCCCTGCCACATGCGTGGTCGCAGGCACCTCCCCCCCATGCTCCACTTCCTTCGCCCCTTTACCTGACTCTTTGACTTCGCCCTTCTCTTTAGCCTCGCCCTTCATCTCGCCCTTGACCTCCCCCTCGGGCCCCCTCCACCCCGTCTCCTGCAGCCACTGCCGCCACGTCTTGAGGTGCGGGTTGCAGCGCCGCGCGTTGCTGATGTCGTGGCAGCCGTAGTACGTGTGCTGGGAGAACCAGCGGAACATCTTTCATACAAACGAGGGGAGAGATATAGTAGAGAATGTAAGAGGTGAGTAGTATAGGGGAGCAGATGTTAATGGCAGCCAGGGGAAACATGCTAACAGACTCACCAGATGAAAGCACACTGGAAAATATGTACATGAAAGTACACCAGATAAACCCGCATATTACCTAAACCAAGTCCGCCCTTACCTGCGTCCACTCCTCATTGGCCGCCCTATCAGTGGTCTCCAGCCTGGCGGGGCGCCCCGTGACCTTCTCAAAGTCCCTCACGTACTGCTGCACCGGCGCGTGGTACCCCGCCAAACACATGTACTCGTCCTGGGGGGTGGAGGGGGGGGGGCAGACGCGGGAGAATGGCAAGAGGGGGGCAGGCAGGTCAGACGAGGTGTGATTCGTGAAGCACTACAGGTTGCACCAGCTGCACTGGCACGTGGCAAGCGGACGGGCACATGTACCGGTCCTTGCAGGTATCAATGCACAGACAGCAGTGCATGGCAGTGGGGAGCAGGCACAGGTAGAGGGAGAGGAATGCCAAGGGGTGTATGGTGGCAACACACGCGTCAGCACCACGCGTCAGCACCACGCGCCAGCACCACGCGTCAGCACCCATGACATCAACAGTCAGCATCACTTCTACATCGACCAAAAAAAACAGAAAAATCCTCACGTGCCACTCGTCGGGGTGGTCGAGTGCGTTGAGCACAGCAGCGCCCGTGTCGTCGACATCAAAGGCGGTGAGCATGTCATCGGGCGCCATGGGCAGCTCAAATACCACCGTGCCGTCCTCCGCCGCCCTGCACAGGTTAAGCATGGCGGAAGTGCGACGCATGAGGTGGCCACAGCAGCTCAAACCGCCTTGCCTCGTCCTCGCCCACTGAGATTGAGGTGCTGGCGAGAGCAAGGCAGCTCGAGTGCGAAAGCGTCAGAAGTTGAAAGAGCACGTGACGGCACCTGCAGAGATTGAAGTGCGCGAAGTTCTGGTAGTAGAAGGCACACATCACGAACGTGTGGTGCTGGAAGCCACACTCCCTCACCGCCTCCTCCACCTGCCCACGGGGAGAAGAAAGGGGGGAGCGAGGACATGAGGGAGAGGGGAATAAGTGAACGCAAGATGGACGAGTGGTGAGGTTGCACACGTGGAGCAGGCTGACACGCACGCAGCAGGTGGGCGTTGCACGGCAGGCGCGGTGCCACTGCCCAGGACAAGGAAGCACAACGGAAGTGGAACTGGCGCGCGACAAGGGTGGGTGCTTCCATGCAGTGCTTCCATGCCGTGCTTCCATGCCGTGCTTCCTTGCTGTGCTTCCATGCCGTGCTTCCATGCTGTGCTTCCTTGCTGTGCTTCCATGCCGTGCTTCCATGCCGTGCTTCCTTGTCCGACAAGGGTTGGCGCGCGCGTGAAGTGTTGCATATGAGAGAGAGGCTTGAAACAACAGGTCGCACAGGCAGCAGGAGGGTGCGCGAGAGAGTGCAGGGCGTAGAGCGTACCCGGGCCTTGTTGGTGAAGTGCGGCACGCTGAGGCGCCCCTTGGACAGGCGCTCCACGTGCGGCAAGGTGCTCAGCACCACGTGCTGCACGCCCGCCTCCTTGGCCACCTCAACGACGCTCTTGCCCACGTCATACTCCTTGCCGCCCAGCGAGTAGTAGTCCGTCACCTGGGGGAAAACGCGCAGTGAGAGCGGCAAGCAACGTGGCACACGCACGCTCTTTGGCATTCGAAGCGATGGCCTCTGTGAATCCTGGGCGACCCACGAAAGATGAGGGGGGCAGCTGGGGGAGTGAGGAAACACGAGCAAGGATCCGTGCGGCATGGCGGGGCGAGCAGGCAAGACATGGTGCAGTGATCATGGTGCAGTGATCATGGTGCAGTGATCATGGTGCAGTGATCATGGTGCAGTGATCATGGTGCAGTGATCATGGTGCAGTGATCATGGTGCAGGGATCATGGTGCAGTGATCATGGTGGCGGCGACAGCTATCAGGCTGCAGACGAAGACCAGACAGTGGGAGCAGCAGTATGACGTCCCACCGAGGCAGAGGCAGAATCCGCGCCACTCATTGTGTAGACGCTACAGGTGTCTACGCCCTCCAGTGCAGCTTCAACCTCCCCACGGATGGCCTGGTCGGCCGCCCCTCACCACCCGCACCTCGGCGTCCCTCACCTTGCTGCTATCGGCGGCCAGGCCACAGCGCTCACCAGATACACGCCGTACGCGCCCTCCAGAGCAGCCCTGACCTCGTCGCGGTTCGCCTGGTCCGCCTTCACCACCTGCACCTTGGCGTCCCGCAGCTTGCCGCAGCGCTGCGAGTCCGGGTGGCGCGTGACGGCTCGGATGCGGTAGCGCCCGCTCTCCAGCAGCGCGTGCACCACGCTACTGCCCTGCGCGCCTGGGGCGGGGGGAGGGGAAACGAGGAGGAAGGGTGACGGACACAGCAAGCATGGGAGTCGCGGCCAACACGCCACGTCGTTCAGAGAAGCCGGAGGTCAAAAGGAGCAAGCGAGAAGAGGAAGACGCTCACCCGTCGCGCCGAAGACGGTAACCAGCGGTTTGTCCGGCGCCGTGTGCGGCTCGCCCGAGCGCACCGTGAGGCGGCGGAGGGAGGACGTCAGATGGCCCCACATGCTGCTGCGGTCTAATTCGGTTCGTTGCGGTTACGCGATGAGACGCTGAACGGACTAGAGACTGCGATGAGAGTGATGAACGGAGCGGAAAGTGCGGCGCTAGGGGGAGAAAGTAAACCTCTGCGCGAGAGGGGAAGGGGTTCAAGCAGCGACGGCAGCGGATTGCATTGACTACTGGCGCTTCGGGGGGCCGCGGCGCTTCAGCCCTCCGCGGCGCGGGTGGAGGCAAGCAACAGCGGACATTGATGGACGTCGATCGGCAATACTGGCATTCATCGCAGCGCCGCAGCGGCACCCCATCGAACACCCCCCGGAGCCATGCATTGCGCGCGCCCGGCGCAGTCATGCGCTCGTTCACGTGGCATTTCCCGCCGCTTCGGCTGCGATGTGCATGAGAGCGCGCCGCCGCATCGCGTGCTTGGGAGACGGCGCGATGAGGGGCAGCATGGTGGGGCCGACGAACGCGCGAGTGCCGATGGTCGTCCGCCTCGCACGATGCATGGCTTTGCTGCTGAGTGAACTCCGAGTCAAAGATAACTAGAGTGACGTGTGAAATCATGGGGTACACCGTCGCCCAGCCATTGGCCTGGCCCACTCCCAATACACCAGATACGGATTTGGGTGACTCAAATCTGCAGCGCGGCGAGCAACAAAAACGAGAAAAACCAAAACTTGGGGTAAACCCAACATTGTCGCAAAAGTTAGTGAATAAGTGTAATTACAGCGTGTTACAAGCTTTGAATTATCTGGTGAGTGGGTCGTAATCAGATTTTTGCCAATCAGGATAACCAATTGAATTGAGTGTAAAAATCTGTATGGTTGGTTCATATTTTATATCGCCAACTGTGTTACCCTTGTTGCCCGAGTCAATCACGTCTCGGTTCACTCACAAAAGCTTCCCGCATCACTTCTGTTTCTAGCACGGGCAATCGCTCCCCGTTTTGAAGCACATTGTGTGCACTGTTTCCACTCACGACAACGACAATTATTGAGCTTGCCTGCTGTGACAAACCCCATTTGCCCATCCAACCTCGTCTCAAACCACTTCGCCAGGAGCTTGTGCAAAATTGGGCATCAACGTTGGCGGAGTTGCAATGAACCCACGTGTAAGGAATTTTCCATTCCTTGCCGAGCGGTACTGCTATTGCTTACGCTCGAACACACCCGAAGCCTCGTGACAGTTCCGGACCTTCCTGACAGAACCGCCTCGGCTTCTCCAGTCCTTCGAGTTCGACCTTTGGGAGTTCTCCGGGCCTCGCTCCGTCACTTCCAGACCCTTCGACCTCTTTCTTGAACCTTCACATCTCATGGTTAGACTAGCTCTGGTGTTCCGATATCTTGGCAGGACATTCCTTGTATCGTCATTTAGTAATTCAACACATCGTTATTCATTTCCGCGCTACTCTGCTTGTTGGCTGGTTTGTGGGTTGTGTTACCCTGGTTTATAATTGTGACCACGTTCGAAAATTTCGTAGGTCCAAGACGTCGCAAAAAAATAAGTGGGTACCGGTTGTTGACAATCTAGCAAATGCAGCCCCCCCTTCCGCCATCCCACCATCCCGCGTATGACAAAGAGGGTAACCCAAGAGCAACACTTACAATCCCATCTGCCCGTAACGAGGTATGCGAAATAAAAGTGGCGTTGTCAGTCCCTGCTGCCCAAAAAACTCGAGTGACTGACTCGGGCAAGAAGGGTATAATATGTAATTGACCACATCATATCCAATTGATGATTACAACAGTGACCTACATATCAGAACCATGTACAATTTTTGAAACATTTTGTCCCTTTTATTGTTCCACTGTAGCCCAATTTTAGGAATGTAACTTCCGTTTTTTGTGCGCTTTGATTTTTTTTATTTTTTTTTCGCCTTTTCGCCAAATGCCTTGCTGCTGGGAGTTTTCGTTGTGATTTTGTTTGATTATGTTGTGACTGTTCCCATTGTAGACGACTTGTGGCCAACGAATCTGGCCACCTAGCGATTTTTGTTTTATTTCCCTAGTGGCACGCGCAACTGCCATACGGAATTGGAAGCTGACGTGGCAATGACACCCGCCTAGCCACACTCGCCAAATGATACCGATTTTTTTGGGTTGAGGAGCAACCTATTGCGATCGATTGTAAGGAATGTTTTTTCAAGTTTGTGATTTGGAAAAAAACTATCAAAACTAAAAAAAACTTGCCTAATAAATTATTCAATACCTAAATATAAAACGTTTGTCATTGTTTCCGTTATTTCCCGTGGCGTATTTTTATCATTGACATGACAAAAATAAGCTATCGCTCCCCCAGCTAAGTGGGGGAAGTCGAAAGCCTATTATATCGACAACACTTCTTGGGATAATACATTTTATGGTAGCAAGAAAAATAAATTGCACTTATCATCTCCAGTTCTATCCATATGGTAACTGGATATTATTGGGCCAACAATATATATATATATGAAGAGAAAATCATCAGCAAACAATAAAAATTTGGCAAGCAACGATGCAATTCGGACAGCTTGGAATAGGAACGGTGTTTAACCGACGCTCATTACAAAGCCA